CATATCTTTATTGAAAACCCTCCAGCAAATCATATTTATTGTAGCGTAGTCTCCAATGTCAGGGCTACACAAAGTCCTCAGACCCAGTATAGAAACATGTCTATCACGTAACTGCCGTTATGTGACAAACGTTAAGCTTTCGAATCTTTAATTAGGCCTATATTATAATTTAATTAGGCCTATATTATAATGCAACTGTGTGTATCTGCATGTCATGACCGTTTAATCCAGAGAAAAGCAGGTTTACGCTATCGCTCAGTGGGCTGCGGTGCGCGCTCCCGCGAGCGCAATCAGATTCTTGCAGACATTCACTTTTTCGCACGACAGGTACGTCGTGGCATAGTAATCGTGATGCGCTGATTGGTTGGAACTATATCTGGGATGCGCTGATTGGTCGGAACATATGTGGGACGCTAACAGTCACATCATTTGCATATGGCGGAAGGACAATTAGTTCTAACTTCACGCTCGAATTGTTTAAATACTGCAGGATTTCTGCGTGTGGTAACTTAATGTAAACTTGCTGGTGTGATATATTTTCAGACTATATAAACAGATTTTATTACCCAGAATAGTGGAACGGGATGATATGATAGAAAAGCTAGCATGCTGTTAACTGCAACAATGTCATTCTGATTTGATCAGATTTTTATATTAACATAAAAAAGTAATTTCACAAAAAATGTGGAAAAAAAAAATTGTTGTTTTTTTACTTTTCTCCCCCTTAGCATTTGAAGACATGACTCATTCTTCTTCTCGCTCTAGTTAAACTTTAACACTCTCTTTTGAAAAATGAGTCCATAGCAACCTGGAATGTTTGTGGTTAAACTACAGACCCAATTTAAAGGTTACTTCGCTTGTCTTTAGAAAATCGAGAAGACTGCTTTTCAAAAGTAGGAACAATGTCTGGAGTTACTTCAGCTGGTAAGAGCTTATGTTTAATTTTTCACCCTTAAGGACATTTGTGATGGTTTCTAATAAGGTTTTCTCTCTGCTTAGAAATCTGCCTCACTACTGAAAACCTTGTGGGTAACGCTTTTCTGTTTCCCTTTATTTCAACTGACTTTAGCGTTTATTAGAACTTTATTTACTGTGATCTTTTTACAGGAGAGCTCTCTGGCATCGGATGGCATGCTGGTTTACTATTTCAATGAGTTCTTAAATCTGCCGGTAATTTACATTTAATATAAAGATTTCAGCATTAAAAAGCAAAAACTCTCCTAATGACATTTTATTTTCTAAGTCTTTCTCACAGGCTTTGATGTACAATCAGGAATCGGGACTTTTTGAGGTGGTTAATCCAGAAGCTCAGTTTTTCTCCGGAAGGATGAGCGTGGCTCTGAAACTCTGTGAAACATGGCTGCATTCTGGTGACCTGCCTGCGATTTGCAGGACGCCACCGGACAACCGTTACTCCGTCCAAGTAAGAGTGTGTTTAAGAAACCATTGGAAGTAGATATGAAATTTACGGAAGAGCATTAGGGCCAAGTTAACTGATTTTTAAGAATTCTTCTGACTTTAATCTGAGAATTCAGACTTTAATCTCAGAATTCAGACTTTTTTCTCAGAATTCTGACTTTTTTTCTCAGAATTCTGACTTTTTTCTCAGAATTCTGACTTTAATCTCAGAATTTTGGATCTTAATGTAGATGGGCACCATGAAGGAAGAGATGTGGGAGCACTCGGCTTCACTGACAAAGATGTGAGTTGTTTGACACATTGGTGGAAAATGATGGA